CAGTGTAGTTTAGCTAAGTGACCAGTCTTCAGAGTCCAGCAGACCTGGGTTTGATCTTCAACAAGATACTTAATCTCTGACTTTATTTCCTCATCTATACAGTGGGAGCCATACTGGGTTTTCCTCATAAGATGGTTGAGAGGGCTAAATGAAATAATGCTCAGAAGGGCTTAGCAATGTCCCAACTCATCGCTGGATGACAATTAAGTGATGGTGGTTTATTTATTATTCTATCCCCTTGATTCTAGGGCTTCCCAGGTGGTGCTAGTGGTAAAGAACCCACCTGCCAATGCAAGAGATGCGGGTTCGATCCCTGGGTCGGGAAGATGCCCTGAAGGAGGACATGGCAACCCCTCCAGTATTCTTGCCCGGGAAATCCCATGAACACAGGAGCCAGGCAGGCTACAGTCTATGAGGTCTCAAAGAGTCGGACACGACCGAACACACACACGTAGCACACCCATCCCTTGATTCTAAGACCAACTTTTTTTCCCCACATTTCACAGTTCTGAAATTAGAACAGGCTTTACTATCATACCCTGTAGCAAACAGAGGATTTTACAGACAAGGAAATGTTTTATCTAGGGTCATGGAAAAAGTTGAGTTGTCCTCCTAGGAATTACCTTTATTTCTAGTCCTAAAGGGGAGAAGGAAGGGGGACAAAGTACCATCTTGCCTGGGGACGGGGTTGTTGAGGTGCTTTATATGCCAGCAGATGCTGTGGGTAGACTTGAACCAGCACACAGAATGAAACCAGATGCCTTCAGGAGGGTGAAGGTGAGAGAGAGTCCTCTGTCCTGCAGACCACAACCACCAAGTTGGATGGGCTCAAGTTTCTGCCCCGGCTCCATCCGCCACTGACTAGCCGTGTGAGTTTGTTCAAGTCAGGTAACCTCTCGGAGCCTCTGCTTCCTTCTGTCAGATGGGACTCATAATCTAAACTGCGCTGTTGATTCTGGTGAGTTAATCTCTGGGCAGATTTTGACGCTGAGTCAGCACCCAGTAAATGGAAGCTGTTAGGTGTTTCCTAAAAGGCATGTTTCTCTCCACCCACCTCCTGGCCACTGTTTTGCTTGGGGGTGACTTTCTTGATCATTCTTCCCCTCAACTGTAGGAATCTTGCCTGCTCTTTAAAGTCCATGGCAAATATTGTCTCCTTGTCCAAACCCTTCCTCCCCACCTCCCCATTCTGGGTGAGGATCACTCCCTTTGGATCTCCATTGTTTCTTAGAGGCGTTCTTCTTTTTAGTTATTTTTCCTTCTTTTTAATTTTTAATTGAATTTTTATTATATAGTGGAGTAAAATGGCAACCCACTCCAGTATTCTTGCCTGGGAAATCCCATGGACAGAGAAGCCTGGTGGGCTACAGTCCATGGGGTCCCAGGAGTCAGACACGACTGAGCGACTAAACCACCACTACCACCATAGTTGATTTACAATGTCATTTTAGCTTCAGGTATGTAGATTCATTTATATATACATGTATCTATTCTTTTTTTCAGATTCTTTTCCCATATAGGTTATTATAGAACATTGAGGAGAGTTCCTTGTGTTGTAGTAGGTCCTAGTTGTGTATTTTATACATAATAGAGTGTATATGTTAATGCCAAACTCCTAATTTATCCCTTTCCAGTTTTGCCCTTTGGTGACCATAAGTTTCATCTTCTTAATCTGTGAGTCTGTTTCTGTTTTGTAAATAAGTTCATTTGTGCTGTATTTTAGATTCACATATAAGTGCTATCGTATGGTATTTGTGTTTCTCTGTTTGATCTATTTCACGTAGTATGACAATCTCTAGGGTTTGCCTTATGCCGGTGCTGTTTGATGTACCCCAGAGGATTGCCGTCCCTTTGAGGGCAGGAGTGTGGCTTGCAAACCCTATAGTTCTAGCACAGAGGAGCCTTGCAGAGACCCCTGAGTCCCTCCTCTGCGTCAAACAATACAGTGTTGAGCAGAACACACGCAGCCCTGGGCCTTGACAGAGCCCACTTTCTGTGGCTCCCATCCGTGCCTAGAAATGAGGCCGGCCAAGCAGAGAGATGCCCTCTTCCCCCAGGTCACTTCAGCCCTGGGTCAGTTCTGCCGCCCTGGCCTTGCTCATCAGCCCCAGTGTTGGTGCTGTGCTGGGGGCGGGGGTGGCTGGGGAGGCGTATGGGCGTTGAGGCAGCCCAGATGGAGAGGGAGCCAGGTGTCTGTCTGAAGCCTGAGCAGGGACCGTGTAGAGCGCCTGGGGGACTCCGTGGGAAGCGTAGGGGGCAGGTCTCTGCTTCTGGCAGAGGTGGCCGGGACCCCGGGTCTGAAGTCCCACTTAGTAGCTCTGATCCCCGGACGGCTGCCCGTGACGCTCAGGCCTGGGAACTACTCTGTAGGGCACAGGAGGTACTCCTGCCAGGCCTGAGCTGAGCTGGCCCTGCAGAGCCTGGGGTCAGTGTTAATGGGGCCCGAGGGCGCCTGTAAACCCACAGCAATGACCATTTGGGCCTTGGGCTTCATGCCAGAGCCGGCTGCATTCTTCCTCAGGGAAGGTGGAGGACACTGGAAAAACCAGTTAGGGCGTGGGAGTCTCCATTTCGTGTAGCTGTCAGGGGAGTGTTGGCTCAGGAGCCCGGAAATGTTATGTGAAAAATCTGGCTTTTTCAGAAGGGTCCTGGTGTCGGTTCAGATCAGCAAGACCCTTCAGAACCAGCGCGAGGGCAGGGCGGGAGTTTGGGGTCTGTGCCTTTTCCTTCTGACGGGATGTGTCCAGCAGGGCGACCTGAGCGGTTTTCATGGTCCTGGCCTGAATGGAGAGGAAGCCAGGGCTGGTAGAAGCCAGCTGGACAAGTCCTGCCTTCCTGAAGGGAGAAGGGAGCTTCGCTGAGTGGGCATCTCTGAGCCCAGCCAGCATTGTGTCCACGACCACACCACTGGGTCCCTCTGCTCATCTCCCAGGATTCACATGGCATTTGGCATGTGGTTGTTAATGCTCAGCAAATACTTGGAATGAATGATTGATTCCAGAGTGTCTGTCCATTATGTTATTCATTGAGGGGAGGGCTATATATATATTCATTGAGGGGAGTTCCATGGGGTTGCTTTAACAAGAGAACTACAAACATGTTGGCTTAAAACAAAGCAGAAATTTATTCTATCACCGTTCTGGAGGCCAGAAGTCGGGAATCCGCCACAGCCGTGGGGGCTTTAGGAGAGAATTCGTTCTTTGCGTCTTTTGGCTTCGGGTGGCTCCAGGCACTCCTTGGCTTCTGGCCTCATCAGTCCAGTCTCTGCTCCCATGGTTCCCTGCTCCCATGGTTCCCTGCTCCATGGTTCCCTGCTCCCATGGTTCTCTGCTCCCATGGTTCTCTGCTCCATGGTTCCCTGCTCCATGGTTCTTTGCTCCCATGGTTCCCTGCTCCCATGGTTCCCTGCTCCATGGTTCCCTGCTCCCATGGTTCTCTGCTTCCATGGTTCTCTGCTCCCATGGTTCCCTGCTCCCATGGTTCCCTGCTCCATGGTTCCCTGCTCCTTCTCTTCTCTGTGTCCTCTTACAAGGGCACTTGTCATTGGATGGAGGGATCTCCAGAACAAACCAGGATCATCTCTCCTCACCTCAACATCCTTAACTTAATTGCATCTGCAAAAACTTTTTCCAAAGCAAAGATAACATTCGCAGGTTCTGGAGATTAGGGTATGGACATGTCTTTTGGGGGCTACAATTCAACCCACTCTAGGGAATCTTAATATTTGTCTAATCGTTGCTTTTTTAGATATATATAACAAACCCTGTTAACCACTGGGTTTGTGCTGCTCCTAGATGCATTTATATCTATATCTGTGTCTTTCTCTATATTAGGTTTCTTTTTCTTTCATTGATTTAGGTTCAGTCCTTCCCCATTGAGTGTCTGATAAACAGTCATTCATGTTAACACAAAACTCTAGGAAATTAACTTTTTAATCTAGTGGTAACTTGGATTAAATCTGCGAAACCCAGGGAAACCTGAGTGAGGTCTGGGTTTAGTTAATTGCACTGTGCCATGGTCAGTTTTGATAATGTACCATAGTGAACTCAGATGCCACCCCTGGGGGAAGCTAGGGGATGATACTCAGGACTTTTGTGTACTATTTTTGTAACTTCTTGTGAGCCTAAAAATAAAAATTTTAACAGAGTTTGATTGGATTTACCAAGACCAGTGATAAAATCATCTGTTCTTATTTGCAACACATCCATTGTTAAGCTGCAATGTGTAGCGAAGTGTTTTAGAGCTTTCGCTGAACTTGATTCGGAAAACGTTGACATTGTTTGATAGGTGGTCTTTCTGTCTAGGAATGTCTTGTCTTGTATTTTTTCAAGGTATGTTTTATCTTCCAGTAAAATGTGTGGAGTTTTCTTCAGGGAACTCATAGATACTTTAAAGTTTGAGGTTTTAAGTTTGTTCTTATGGATGTATCTTTCCCCCATCTGTATTCTTTAACTGGCTCTTTCTGGTTACATGTCCCTGAACAGAATCCCCACACCTTTCAAATACGTGAAATTCTTTTAGCTTGAGAAAATGCTCTTCATTCTGCAGCTAGAGACAATGTTTAACAGGTTTTTATTCGTTCCTTTAAACCTGCTCTCAGAAAGGGTCCATCTGTTCAGTTATTAAATGTAGATTTAAGTATTTGTGTTCTCCATCCGAGTGTGTGGGAGATGTTCTTTATAAAGAAATACAAAGTTGTGCTCTGTAAATGTAATCCTAACTGTATTGTTTTGTATTCTGTCTTTGAAAGCTGTAGAGGTGCTGTCTGTCTCCAGGGGTCATGTGCATTACCTGGGGGGCCCTAGGTCCCTTGCCAGGTCAGATGGACAAATGGGGTGTCCTGTCCGTAGTGTGATCTGAACTTTTCTTGTCCCTGGCTTTTCTTCTCTGCTTTGATCGCAGAGCCATGAGGCCTGGGTGGGCATTGAGAAGGCCTCTAGCGTGGCGAAGCCCCAAATTTGAAAACAGAAGTGGAAAATGTACCATTAACCTCCCTCCAGGTCAGTCTTATGAAATCCGACTGCTGGAAAACAGGAAACTGGGAGATTTTCAGGATCTGAACACAAAATATGTGAAGGTAAGGCTCCAGCCTGCACCTTGCCTGGGCACCTGGGGGTGCTTTCTTGGGGGCCTAATTAATACCTGGGCTTGCACTCAGGATCAGGAGTGCCTGGGAGGTTTGGGAAGGGCTCCAGGGACAGAGGTGGGCTCCAGGTCCCTGGAGCGTGTGGTCTGAGGGGCCTTGGTCAGGCCGGCAGTGCTGGGAGCTGATGGCCGGGTCGTACAGACTCGGGTTGCAGCCTGGCTCTGCCTCTTCCCAGTGTTTTCTGGGCCTCAGGTTGCTCACCTGCACAGAAGGTTTGTAAATGACCCATGTGTGCGAAGCACACAGCAGCCCCTTGAGAGCAGGGCATCCCTTGCTGTTTGTGCTGTTGTTCGTATTGTTGGGGTTCCGAGGAGGGACAGGTGACATGAGGGGCTCGGGAGAAAGGCCTCAGATCTCGGGCCTTGGAGGAAGAGAGGTCTGTCTGATGGGGGGGGTCAGGGTAGGTTCCTGCGGGCCCCTCTGGGCCCCGCACTCACTGTTCCCCCCCGCCCCCGCCACCCCACCCTGGCCCCCAGAGCATCATCCGCGTGCTGTTTCACGACCGCCGCCTGCAGTACACGGAGCACCAGCAGCTGGAGGGCTGGCGGTGGAGCCGGCCCGGGGACCGGATCCTGGACATCGGTGGGTTTCTGGGCTGAGTGGCGGTTCTTCCTGGGCCCCATCCGGACCCGGCCGTGTGCAGGGCCTCTTGCCACACTTCTGCCCTGTGTGAAACTCCATGGGAGCTGGTGGAGGTGACCACAGCATCAGCCCTGCCCTCAGCGAGTACCCCTTTTGGGGTGTACATGGTGGGGGTGCATTTAGGAATAAGGACCTGTCGTCAGGAAGTGAGAAGCAGGGAAGCCTTCACAGAAGGATCCTGACTTGATGGAGGGCAGGGTGGGCATCAGAGAGGGGGCAACGGAAATGCGCCGAGGGCTCAGGCAGTGGTCCACAGGCTTCTTATTCACAAAACTTGGGGCCAGGTGGGTTTTGGAATTCAGAAGTTGGAATAACAGTAGGCTGTGTCGACCCACAGTCAGGTCACACTGCCAACAGGCCATGTTCTTGTAGCCATATAGAGTGACGACAGGCAATGGAGCGAAGGCTCGGAATAGCTTCATGGAGATTCAAGTCAGGATTCTGCCAAGTGAGCTTTGCAGAACCTAGCTTTCAGAACCCTTGGTGTTTCAAATTGTGTAAGGAGTTTCGACCTGTAATAGGAGTCCTTCCCGAAATATTGGGAGTGGCTGACGATTGCACTTTTGTGTGTGTGTGTGTGTGCACAGATATTCCACTGTCTGTTGGTATCTTGGACCCCAGGGCCAGCCCGACCCAGCTGAATGCAGTCGAGTTTTTGTGGGATCCTTCAAAGAGAGCGTCTGCGTTCATTCAGGTGAGCAGGAAGGAGGTTGCCCTCTGTGGGGAAGTCAGAACTTTGGGGGTCCATCGTGTATTTCTCAAAACCATCCATGCGTGGGGCCTTGATGGGCTTTTGCCCTTGGCTGCAGGCAAGGAGGCTGAGAGGGAGGGTGAGTGGGGCCCAGAGCCATGAGACTGGTTGGTCACTGGGGCTCGGAAGAAGATTTGGGATGTTGTAGACTTCTGTGTGGGTGTTTCTTATCAATATGTAAGCTTTTTACACAGTAACTGAGTCCTAGCATAAATAATTTGAAGTACAATTTTTTTTTCATAACTGTTTCTATTATTAAATGTTTAATTCTGAAGCTCCTGATATGAAAGTGAAAGTCTTAGTTGCTCAATTGTGTCCGACTCTTTGCAACCCCATGTACTGTATATCCCGCCAGGTTCCTCCGTCCATAGGATTCTCCAGGCAAGAATACTGGAGTGGGTTGGCCATTTCCTTCTGCAGGGGATCTTTCCAACTCAGGGATCGAACCCGGGTCTCCTGCATTGCAGGCAGATTCTTTACCACCTGAGCCGCCAGGGAAGCCCATCAGAGCTTCTGCTATGGACCTGCCCTTGTGGCAAGCGCTTCAGCGGGCCCAGCTGGCCGGGGGCGTGGCCAGGGCCCTGTGCTTCTGGGCTCCCCGGCTCTCTCCCTCACTGTGGGCCCCTTTTTGAGCTTCTTCGTTTTCCTCCCTGGCTTGTAAATCAGAGACTGAAAACAGAGCCAGGACCGCAAGGCCTGGTTCGCAGTATCACTCAGTGAGAGTGAGCGACCTTTTCGCCTTGCGTAGTTACAGTGCTCGATTGCATCTCAAAAGGAGTAACATGATGTTACTGTTTAATGTTACAACAACATGTATTTGTATTGGGCTAGCCAGAAAGTTTGTTCTGATTTTTAATACCACCTTAGGGAAAAAACTGCAACTAACTTTCTCGCCAGCCCAATATTAGGACAATGTGATTACATTATTATAGCAACCAGTACACGTCACGTGCTTTCTGTGTAGCAGGCACGTACCAGAAGTAAAGAAGCGGTTCTAGCTTCTGGCCTGGCCTGAGTAACCTGGGACCAAGGGACTCGGCTCCTCGGGACTAAGCTGTGGTCCCTGCTCTGCGGCCTCTGGGGTTTGTCCAGGCAGAGGTCCCGGGGTGGGGGAGTTGCTGGGGTCAGTGGGCCTGGAGTAATGGCAAGGACTTGGCTGGTCAGGCAGGACCTCCAAGGTCAAAGGATGGAAGTGAGAGGCTGTGGGGGGTGGCCAGTGGCCTGGCGGAGTGGCCGGCGCTGGGGGACAGCGGGGAGGTGGAGGCGGGTCTGACTGTGGGGTGGGCACGTCTACTGGCGGGGGAGCGCCTGGGGGTTCAGGCCCCCCCTCGCCCACCTCTGGCTAACTGCCTGCCCCATCCCCCGCAGGTGCACTGCATCAGCACCGAGTTCACCCCGAGGAAGCACGGGGGCGAGAAGGGGGTGCCCTTCCGGGTGCAGATCGACACCTTCAAGCAGAGCGAAAATGGGGAGTACACGGAGCACCTGCACTCAGCCAGCTGCCAGATCAAGGTGTTCAAGGTAGGACGGCCACCAGCGCCCCGCCCACCGCCACCCCAGCCCAGGGCTGGAGGCCGGGACCCCAGAGCTCAGCGGTGAGCGCAGCGGCCGGGAGCCAGGGGCTCCTGCCCCGGCTCTTTCACCCTCGCAGGCGGCCGGGCTCAGCTCTGCCTGGCCAGAGTGGTGGGATGGGCACAGCTGTAGATTTCAGGTGTCCTCCCAAGCACGTTGACCACAGATTCTCCTTAAAAACACAAGTCAGGAGACCCCCTTTGAAGGCCCTGACCATGGATGTTATTTTTTAAAAATTTTTGTAGCGGTATAGTTAATTTACAAAGTTGTGTTAGTTTCAGATGTACAGCGCGGTGATTCGGTTATATGTTATCAGTTCTTCTCCATTATAGCTTCTCACAGAATTTTGCGTATAGTGCCCTGGGCGGTAGTGGTCCTGGTTGGCTGTCTGTTTTACACATGTTAGTGTGCACCTGTCAATCCCAGGGGATGCTGTTACTTGGGGCCCCAAGGCCCTCGTCCCTCTGCAGTGGCCTCCTGGCACCGCCTCCCTTTTCCTTTCTTGCCTCACCCCCTGCAGTTGGCTGTCCTTCTTTCTCATCCCATCTCTTTGGACGGATTATTTCCTAAGAATGCCTGCCAGTGGCGCAGCCCAGGGTGGCTCTGGGGGGGGCGGTGACAGCAGAGTCCACGTCGCTCTCCGGTGGGTGCACCTGCTCCGAGCAGGACCACTGGTCCCTCTGCCAGCAGATCGGACCTGCCTGCCGGCCTGGGGAATCCCAGCAGATACCTGGGACCGGCCCTGGTGCCTTCCCCTCTCCTCCCGGTCTTTCACAGTCAGGGACCTGGGGACTTACTGATAGAGTTTCATCTGCTGGAGCTGGAGATGCCAGAGGGAGGGGCTGTAGAAACGAGGGCCTGTCCCAGAAGAAGCTGGGTCAGTGTTGATGTTCCTGAGCTGGGGATGGATGTGGAAATGAGCGCCCACGGGTGGAACTATCAGCCTGGTGGCAGAGGGCTCATGGGCCTGTTTCCCGACGGGATGGGGTGGCCCTGAAGCTGCCCATGTCTGCCCCTACGTGACCACACGGCCGGGCAGCCAGCTTCATCCCCACTGGTCGTGTCTGGCCACCTGGGGGCTGTGGCCACCTGGCCAGGCTCTGTGTGCTGGTGCAGGTGAGCTTGTCTCCGCTGCCGGAGCGGTGGCACCTCCAGAAACCTACTTCAGCGTGGTGACGCCTTTAATCTGGCCTCCGAAGGAAGCTACATTTCTCCCCCATATTTATATGCCCCTCCTGATGTTAAAAACAAACAAAAAAATTACCAAAGTTGAGTGGCTTAGTACTACATTCTCTTTTAATGTTGAAGTTTGAAACAGGTTTCACTGGGCTGGGGTCAGGCGTCAGGAAGGTTAAATTCCTTTCTGGAGGCCCTAGGGGAGAATCTCTTTCCTTGCCTTCTCCAGCTTCTAGAGGAATCTGCATTCCTTGGCCCGTGGCCCCTCCTCCATCCTCAAAGCTAGCATCACCCCGATCGCTCCATGCTCCCCCCAACACACACTTTAAGCCTCCACGATTACGCTGGGCCCACTGGGATGGTCCACGCTCCCCTTCCTGTTTTCGTCTCTCACTGTTGGCAATCCCGATTCCGTTTGCAACCTTGCCCTCTTGTGCCCTAGGGTAATATCCTCCCAGGCTCTGGGAGTTAGGATGGGGCCATCTTTGGAGAGCATTAGTCTGCAGATCCTGTTCACCGGTGCCTCCGGTCTTGGGTCCTTGATTCTGGACAGCTGGACAGCCCTGGACAGCTCTGAGACTGCACAGTGGGTGGTCTCTGCCTGCCCCACAGTCCCGCCCTCTCTTGGTTGTGTGCAGACCACATCCCACCAGCCCTCTTCTGCCCTCAGGCGGGGTGCATCCAGTGTAGTGCCCTGGGATCCGGCTCGGGGCCGGGCAGCAGGAGGGGGGGCAGTGTGTGCCAGGGATGCCCAGTCCTCCCCATGGCCCCTGCCAGCCCCCGCTCTTACACCTCAAGGCGGACACTCAGAAATGAGGGCCCTACCTGGCTCCTCAACACTACACCAGGCCTCATTGAGGGAATTGAGCTGGCAGCTGCTTTGGCATCTCCTGCAAGAGGGAAGGAGCATCTGTCACCCAAAATGAAAGTGAAAGCAACAGTGTTAGTGGCTCCATCATTTGTCTCCGACTCTTTGTGACCCCGTGGACCGTAGCCCACCAGGCTCCTCTGTCCGTGGAATTCTCCAAGCAAGAATGCTGGAGTGGGTAGCCGTTCCTTTCTCCAGGGAATCTTCCTGACCCAGGGATCCTACCTGGGTCTCCTGCATTTCAGGCAGTTTCTTTACCATCTGAGCCACCAGGAAAGCCCTGTCACCTGAAATGAGCTCCTTGGAATCCCTGAGGTGGCCTGGCCGCCCACCCACAGGAGCAGCTGAGATAGGTGTGCAGCAGGGCCAGGTAGAGCCCTGCCTCACTGCCCGCAGCTCCCCATCTCAGGTCACCCTGGTTACCAGGAAGCCCCTGGATTCTTGGGTTGCTGCCCTGGGGCTCTGTGGGGATGTCTTGGGACTCTCCCTTTCCTGCTGACTCCTTGCAGGGGTCTCCCTGGGGCTGAGTGGTGTCCCCCACAGGCAGGCTCAGCCACGCTCTGCTGGTGATGCTTCTGGGCCGGGAGGAAGGGCCTCCTTTCTGGGACAGGATGGAGGTGGGGCAGAGAAACCAGACGATGGGGGTCCAGCTGCCGCACGCCTGGCTCTCCTGCTGAATACCAGATCTGTCACTCATGTCCCTGTAGGACCCCCAGCAAACCTCCCTCCCTCCAGCCTGGGTGTCCCCCCAAAGGCTATTTCCTAACGCCCCCTGAGTTGGGAGTCAGCAGCTGCAGCCTGAGGAGAGTGCCCGCCAGGATGACCCCAAAGGCACCGTGGAGTGGAAGGGTGGATTTTCTTCCCTGGCTGCTCACCTCGTGTGGTCTGCCCTGTGCAGAATAAAACCCTCAGCTCAGGGCCCTTCGGAGTCTTGATATCTGACCCCACCCACCAGGCTGTGAACTCCGGAGGAGATAGTGTTCGTGGTCCAAGCATTCCCCATCAGCTGAGCCTGCTGGAGCCAGCATGGTGGCTGTGCCCAGCTGGGCTTCTGACCTGGAGTCTTGACTCGATCAGCACGTGGTTCCTCTCCATTCTCGATGGATCACTGGACCCTCAGTCTCCTTAATCTGTAAATGAGGCCGATAGTAGTACCTGTGAGGCCTGGACACCTGTGAATTCCTCAGGTGCGCTGGGTGCCCAAGACAGGCCATGTCAGGATGGATGTTACCCTGCAGGCAGACTGTAAGCTGGGAGTGTGCCCGGAGCCCTAAGTGTTAGGGGCAAGGAGGCCTTAGAGGTGGACCGCAAGTGTAGATGGAGCCCTGGCTAGCAGCTCCTAGGCTCCTAGGAGCAGCTCCTAGCTGCTGTCTGCTTCCTGTCTCTCTCCATGGGGAACCCAAGGAAGGCTCCTGAGGGGTCCTTTCCATTAGCAAGTGGCCAGTGGTAAAGCTCTGCCCCAAGCGTGCCTGCCGGGGCAGCTGAGCAGACCCCGTGAGTCTCTGAAGGACCAGTAGTGGGCTCTGAGCTCTCTTGGGGTGGGCAAGGGTTCCAGGCAGGAGGACCATGTGTCGGATGCCTGGGAGGTGAGAGACAAGCTTTCCTGTCCACGAGGCCCTGCTTGGGGTGAGGGGCCACCCCTCAGCTTTGGACATCCCGCAGACAGCTGCCTCTGCCGGCTGTGAGCTCACTGGGCCCCTGTGCTCTAAACTTGCAGCCGAAGGGAGCTGACCGGAAGCAGAAGACGGACCGGGAGAAGATGGAGAAGAGAACAGCCCAAGAGAAGGAGAAGTACCAGCCATCCTATGAGACCACCATCCTCTCAGAGGTGAGCTGGGGGGCCTCCTTCTCGGGGGTGGGGGGCAAGGGGACTGTCAGATCCTGGGACAAGTGCCCATTTGGGGCGGATGCTGCTTCTGAGAGCGCCGTTCAGCCCCAGTGTGTTCCCGTGTCTGGAACTGCTGTCATCTGAGGCCTGGTGTCCAGGGACATGTTTTACAAGTAAATACCTTCTAACTCTCAGCTGCCGTTGGCACATTTCAAAATTAGGTTTTTTTTTTTTTTAATAGATAATATATTCATGTGGTCCACATTCAAAAGGTATAAGAATCTCCATCAGAAAATGTCCCTCCCAGCACTCTCCAGCCTCGGTCTCTCTCCCCAGGGCAGTAGGTGACCCTGGGTCCTTCTCTGTCGGGCCCCATGTTCTCTGAGAAGGAAATCAATTCAAACAAGTTTGCCCCATGGGTGCTTTCTTTCCCCCAACAGTACACGAACACACACATAGTCGCCATTCTAAGGTTGACTATCTTTATTTCCTGGTGTTTCTTACCCGATCATAAAGAGCTTTCCAGTTCTTCATTCAGCTCCATGGCCTTCCTTGTGTGGACGGCCTGCTGGTGGGCACTGCCTGCTCTCAGGCTCCTGCTGTTTCCCACGGGGTACTGTGAACGCCTTGTTCACGTGAAGTTCTCCACCAGGAAAGAATGCACCTTCTGCCCTCAGAGAGGGGTTGCTGGGTGCAAGGGGGTAACACTCACTCTCTGGCTGTTGGGGTGGATATTGGGGTGCATTTCCTCATCACCCAGATGCCAACACCAGCCTGCTCTGTCCTTCCACCCAGGGTCCGTCTGGGATGCTCCCTCTTGCAGGCTCCTTTTCCTCCTGTCACGGGCCCTTCCTGCTGCTGCGCCGTGTTTACTGGACTCTGTTTTTTGTTTTAACAACTCCTCCCCGCTGTGTCCTGTGATCAGGCCAGCTAATAGGTCTTGTGTGTGCTTGCTGAATATTCTGACTTCCTCGGGAGGCCCTCCGTGGATGCCGGAGGCCCAGTGCTGACCGTGGTGGGGTTAAGTCTGTGTTAAGGGGGAGGTCCAGACACAGGGTGGCTCAGAGACCGGTGAGTAGGTCCTGTCTGAGGAGCTGTGCGTGTATGTGAGGGTGTGTGCGTGGGTGTGAGAGGGAGACACACAAGCCATCTGCAGACGAGTGTTTGCAAGAGGAGAGCAGGGACCCTCGTTTGCAGACAGACGCACGCTGGCCTCTCGTTGGGCCGAGGCTGACAGTGCCCGAGAGCCCTGGCCCAGAAGGAGCCCTGCCCCCTGGAAGCTGGTCTGAGCCAGCAGTGCCTGGTGAGGGGCAGCGCGTGGACGCTTAGCTCTTCCCAGGCTTGGTACATGCTGGGGACGTGCCCTGGGGACCCTCCCTGCTCCCCAGTCCTGTCTGCGGCCACCTCTCCTTCCAACCTGGGCCTCGGCCTCTGGTGCCTGCCTCTCCACTGGCTTCCCTGCTGGAGGACGGTCCCCGGGGTGCTCCAGGCTATGTCCCAGTCCCTCTCCCTGGCCAGGTGTTGAAATCGACACCCAGTCTGTAACTTTGGGAGCTACCGGCTCCCCTCTTGTCAGCTCATCAGTTTTCCTACCCCCGAGGGCTCCAGGATTTGGCACCAGCACATTCCAGCCCTCACTCAGAACAGAGTTAAATATTGACCCTCTCTGTGGTCAGGTGGGTGATCGTAAGTCTCAGGAATGCTTCCGTCTGACCGTGTCCAGAGCAGGGTCATCGCAGAAAAAGGAAGTGGTGAATGCTTGGTCCCCCACCCCCCAGGCAGCACCCACAGGTCTAGGCTTGCTTCGGGGGGCTCCTTCGTGTTCGTTTAGGCTTCAGCACAAGATGTTCCTGGCATTCGGGGGTCACGTCATTTCTGTTGCTCTATCTCCCTCGGCTCCAAGCAGGATGCCTCAACTGTTAAAATACCCGTGGAGTTGTGCTGGGGACAGGCTGCTGCAAGCCAGTGTGGAGGTGCCTGGCCCTGTCATCTGAGGCCCATCAGGACATGCTATTAGTAATGCTGAGCTTTGTCGGTGGTTTTCTGTTGGAAGTGGCCCAGTGCCGCCTGTTTCTTGCATTTACACCCATTTGTCTGCGTGGGCAAGTCCTGCCTGTGGGCACCTGGCCTGTCCTGCACCGATGAGGTTTCCCTCTTTGCTTTCGCTGCTTGGAAGCTCTGACAGACGTGTGTCATGCTTTGCTTGCCCTGGGGATGGCCTCCTGATGACGAGGTCTCTTCATGGCCCTATCTGATTCCTTTGGTGTGGTCGAGCAGCCCGCCCATCCCTGGATACCAGGTCAGCGTGGGTCGGGTGTTGAAAGATTGTGATTTCAAGCCGGGTGGGAGGGCTGGGTAAGCTGGGCTCGTCTCATCTGCAAGACGGGGTCTCGGGGACCGCTGTCACCCTGTGCTGCTGATTTCAAGCCGGTGGGAGGGCTGGGGGAGCTGGGCTCGTCTCGTCTGCAGGACGGGGTCTCGGGGACCGCTGTCACCCTGTGCTGCTGATTTCAAGCCGGTGGGAGGGCTGGGGGAGCTGGGCTCGTCTCGTCTGCAGGACGGGGGCTCGGGGACCGCTGTCACCCTGTGCTGCCTTCCCACAGTGCTCCCCGTGGCCTGACGTGGTTTACCAGGTGAACAGTGCCTCATCCCCAAGCTACAACGGCTCACCAAACAGCTTTGGCCTCGGCGAAGGGTATGTGCACCCTCTCTCCTTGTGGTCCCTGGAGTGACCACAGGCGCGGACTCATTCCCCAGCTTCCTCTCTGGGTCTTCGCTGCTCCTGTAGCCCAGCATCAGCTGGGTTTCAGGGCGGTTGACTGGTGTTCATGACCATGTTTAGCATCATGCGTACAGGTTTTCATGCTTGATTACACTTCTAGAAAGACCGACGGGTGGGGTAATTAAGCACCCAGCACCCACTCCCTCCCCAAATTAAGGTGGGCCAGCCTGCCAACTCCCGGGCCACCTCCTAGACAGCTGGGGCCTCAGGAGGTGGACGTCTGGACCCCGCAGTGGCTGGAGGGGCTTCTTAGGCCTTGCATGGTCACCGGGCAGAGGGGCTCAGCTCAGGACCTTCCCCGCCCCCCTGGGTGTCCAGCCCCGCAGCACAGAAGCGACTCCACCACTGGGCACGAGCTCTGCCGAGGCCCAGGCCATGCCGACCCCAGGGTGGCAGAGGTGCAGGGACCAGCAGGCAGCTGCCCCTCCCATCCTGTGGCGTCACTGTGACGCTGCCCTCCCTGGTGGTGGGAGCAGGGAGGGTGCCAGGAGGGTTTAACAGGGGCATGTGGAACACATGGGTTGTTCAGAGCCCCTGCTTGGCAGAGAACTTTACTGATGGGCAAGCCAGACAAGAACTTGATTTCCTAGGTAAGGACAGTCCCCACTGAGAAGCGGGCACAGGAAGGGCTGTTGCATTTTATTCAGGCAGTGAAAAAAAATGAAAGTGTTAGTCGCTCAGTTGTGCCCGACTTTTTGTGATCCTGTGTAGCCCACCAGGCTTCTGGTGGGTTTCTCCAGGCAAGAATACTGGAGTGGGTTGCCATGCCCTTCTTCGGGGGATCTTCCCAACCCAGGAATCGAACCCAGGTCTCCTGCACCGCAGGCAGATTCTTAACTCTGCGCCTCTCTGGGGGCAGATTCCTTCACTTCCTGCAGCCTCAGTTTCCCTACTTGCATGGGAGTATGAATTCCACACTCGGTCAGGGGAATATGTGTAGAGTCCTGGTACCCCCAGACCCAGATCACCTGTATCTGCAGTCACTGATGACTGGCCTAGGAATCCTTGCTGCAAAGGTCTTTCCTTTTTTCCTTATTGTGGTACAGGGGCTTTCCAGGTGGCGCTAGTGGTAAAGAACCTGCCTGCCAGTGCAGGAGACATAAAGGTGTGGGTTTGATCTGTGGTCAGGAAGATTCCCCTGGAGGAGGGCATGGTAACCCACTCCAGTATTCTTGCCTGGAGAATCCTATGGACAGAGGAGCCTAGCGGGCTACACTCCATGGGGTCACAGAGTCACGTGACTGAAGCAACTTAGCATACACACATGTGTGTGCGCACACACACACGTGCACACGCACACAGACACATACATGCACACACGCATGCGTGCACACACATACACACATGCATGCACACACATGCACATGCGCACACGCACACACATACACACGCACACACACACATACACACATACATACACACATACACATACACACACGCACACACACAATGTAAATTTTATTGTTTGAACAATTTTAAGTGGCCAGGTCAGTGACACCAGGTCCACTCACATTGTAGTATTGCCACTGTCCATCTGGGAGGGTCATCTCTGACTGTCTTTCTCTTGGCTTAAAAGCCCAGGTGTTTAGGTCTCTGCCTCCCTTTGGGGGAAAGCCGTGAGAAAGCTTTTCTCCCGGTGGATGCCAAACTGTGGGTGCTGTTGCTGCAGAATGGTTCCCCAGGGCTTCCTCTGCCCTCTCCTGGGTGTGGCTGGCCCTTTGCCGTCTTAGCACCAAGTCCCTGTAAGGCTCCAGGCCCTAGGTCAGTCTGCCCTTCCCTCTGACTGGGGCTCAGCGTGGGGACCATGAAATCTGGCCAAAACAAGCCCAGAGCCTTAGAGCAGGGATGGGGGTGTGTAGCTCATCAGAACCCTGTCCACACTGGAAGCTCTGTTAAGAATTTCCAGGGACTGAGCAGGGCTCCTGCTTGGGTTTTTCTCGAGGCCCCGCTTCGTTTCCAGCAAGCCGCAGAGCCGAGGGGTGGGAAGGGCAGGCCAGCAAGGAGCATCCTGGCTGCTCACCGCCTCTCCTTTTCCTTTGCAGCAACAGCTCCCCGACCCACCCGGTGGAGGCCCTGCCCGTGGGCAGCGATGTAAGTGAGTGCGGTGGGGTGCTGGCTGCCCGCTCCCGCGGGGGAGAGCGACCGCCCCCTCAAGCCTGTGCTCTCTGCCCGCAGCACCTGCTCCCCTCGGCCTCCACGCAGGACGCCCAGCAGTGGCTCCACCGCAACAGGTTCTCCCAGTTCTGCCGGCTCTTCGCCAGCTTCTCGGGTGAGCATCTCTGAACGGTGCGCAGGACCTACCGCGGTCTCGGAACACTCAGCACGGGCCCTGGGCGCCCAGCAGCTGTGGTCTGTCCTGGGGACACAGAGGCGTGTGGTCACTCACGTGTGCTGGCCCTGGGCCCAGGGCGGGCCTGCCCTTGGGGTGTCTGCCTGCTCGGGGCTTGAAGGGAGGACCATCTGGGAGCTTTTTCAAGCTGCTCCTTGCCGGTGGGGTCGGCCACGTGTCTCCTGGAGGGGCCCCTTAGCCAAGAAGGCCAGGGTGTACTCAGCAAGCCTCCTGGCCTCTTCCTCCCAAATGCCGTTCATCACGCTGTCGCCAGGTAAGCCGTGTGGGAGGCGGTGGCGCAGTCAAGGTGAGAAGGGAAAGCTGGCTCTTCCTTCTTTAAAGGCTTTTCAAGCTCTTGCTGATGAGCCCATCAGACAGCAGCCCTGAGCTGGCAGTGGTGGAGGACAGGGAAACTGAGCCATGAACCTTGCCCCCGGGCAGTCCAGAGTGACAGGGAGTCGGTGTTGGCTGGAACCAGAGGAGTGGCTGCCAAGGACATCTGTGGTAGCAGGAGGGAAACAGCACCCCAACAGTCATCTTTGAGCCCAGTTCTTGGCACATCCTTTGTGCTGGGGGTGGACGGGATGAGGGCGGTCAGGCAGAGACTCCAGCCTTGGGCAGCTCTGAGTTGGTGCAGAGGTGTAAGCTGCCCGTCTCAATGCGCTGTGACCCTTCTGTGATGGGCAGGCTTGGAGGAGGGACTTGGGAGACTGGGAGGGAGGTGGGCCAAGGGCGCCTGCACCTTAAGCAAGGTATAGTGTAGACCTCGTGGGGGAGGTGTCTTTGAGGAAATCCTGGAAAGCGTGTGAGTCAAGTGTGTGTGGGGGGGCGGTGATGAGCTTTCCAAGCAGAGGGCAAGTGTAAGTTCCCGGTGTGGCCACAGAGCCGAGGGCCCAGGTAATGGGGTTGAGTCGGTCAGACAGGAGGTGAGGTCGGAGAGGTGCCCAGGGACCTTGGTGCAACAGTGTGAAGGCGTGGCTTTTATTTCCTATGGAAGGGGAGCCAGTGTGACTGCAGAAGTGTACCCCAAACTGTACCTTAACTGTGGCAGGGAAACGGGGTAGATGCTGTAACTGGACCACGTAGCTGTTGGCCAGGTTTTAGCAGAAGGCTGATGTCACCCTTGTACCTTGGAGAGTCCACGTGAGCTCAAGGCTCTTGGGGGCTGTTCGGTCTTTGAGGAAAGGACCATGTCCACTGATTATGATCACCCCAAACTGGGAGCACCCATGATGCCCATCAGCAGAGAGAGGGTACTGGCGTTGTATTCATGTCATGAGTACTATCTAAACGTGGGCATGAATGATTCATACTGCCTGCAATACAGATGAACCTTAAACGGAACTTGGAGAGAGAGTCAGACTGAGAAAAGTGCAGTTTCCAGTTCTGTTCACATGAGTGCCATGTGAACGGAAAACCGAGTGAAGCCCCTGTGTGTGTGAGAAATCAGGATAGCAGTTTCCCAGAGGTGGGGAGAGGGGTAGAAGCTGGCACAGGGGTGTATGAGCTGGTGGGAATGTCCTGCATCTTGATCCGGGTGCCAGGTGCATGGGTGTCTGGGTGTGCAGGCTCCCCGGCAGCCTCCAGAGAGCCACGAGTTTCTGCCTACAGGCAGGTACACACATGATCAGTGCCACGTGCTGATAAGATACATCATGGACAGTGATGCTAATAAAAGTCCCAGAGGGAGGGTCAGGCCCAGGTAGAGAGGATGACTAACCAGCAAAGGCCTGTCAGTTCTGCTGAGTTTGTGAACCCCGTTGTCGAGTTCTGACACCTCTTGGGCCATGATCTGATGTTGTTTAGCTCTTGCCGTTTCTCTCTGTGGGACACCCATGCCTCCTGAGATGGAGGCTGGCTCTTCCCTGCCCTGGGGTCGGCAGGGGAGGTGGCCGTGTAACAGCCTCAGGCCTCGGTCACCGTGTAACAGGCCGGCCCCATTTACCTGCCCAGGCGCTGACCTGCTCAAGATGTCCCGAGACGACTTGGTCCAGATCTGTGGCCCTGCAGATGGGATCCGGCTCTTCAATGCCATCAAAGGCAGGTAGGTGTTAGTTCCCAATGGAGGCAGGGTATGGCTGGTGGCCTGCATCTCTCAGCCCCTTGGACACCTGGCGGGCTAGCTAGTGGGATCTGGGCTCCTCTGGGGGTGAGTGCAGGAGGAGGTGCCAGGAGCGGGGTGGGGGCCAGAGCCCGTGCTGGAGAGGGTGAATTGCCCTGGCTTGCAACCCACCCTGCCTAGGGGCCCACTCCCTCCGGAGAGAGGTGGTCTCTGAGTCTCCACCTCTTGGCTGTGGGTTCTGAGATGCCTGCCCCGTCCTCCCAGTGCAGGGGGCAGGGGGCAGGTGTGGATGGAGTGGTCTAAATAGTCACACATGGACAATACTGCTCTGAGAGTGAGAGGGTGTGTCTGGGTTTGAATCCCACATCTGCCTCTTAGGGACTTGGAAACTGGGCCAAGCCCTTAACCCCCGTGAACCTCAATTTCCTCATTTGTACAATGAGGGACAGTGGTCCTGGCTCCCCCATAGATGTGTGAGGATGCAGTGAGCTCAGAGTAAGCCGAAGAATGCATTTGCTCTGATTATCACCCTGAAGAACCTCGTATCTTCAGATTGGTTCTGTGGGCAGAGCCCACTCTGCAAGTTGCAGGTCCTAGGTGGGGGTTGGGGGGTTGGCCCATCCCCTGGTCTTCATCCAGCAAGTCTGCTTGAAGCTCTCAAGGTTCACCTGGATGGGATTCTCTCCCTGACAGCTCCTTCCTCGGAGGAGGAAGGCACGCTGTAGCCCCAGAACCTTCTTTCTTCCCCCAAGTCCCTTCTACTGTTCTCTCCACCCTGTGTTCTGGAACATTCTGGAATAATGAGCTCGGTCCCCCTTGCCTGCCCACGACTTCCTTTCCTCCCGCCAGGAACGTGAGGCCGAAGATGACCATTTACGTCTGCCAGGAGCTGGAGCAGAGCCGCGTGCCCCTGCAGCAGAAGCGGGACGGCGGTGGGGACCCCAACCTGTGTGGTGAGTGGTGGGGAGCCCCTCCCCGGGCTGGTGAGAGGGCAGCAAAGCCACAGGGGGAGGAGAGCGTCTCCCCTGATCCGCCTCGCATGCAGGACGGGTTCTGCTGTGCTTCCTCCTGGGACTGAAATGTGTAAGGTGGCGATCATCCCTGAGAAGGTCTTGTCGCATGTACTGCTGTCCCATCTGGGGAAACAGGCCTGGAGAGGAGATGTGGCCCCCGATGTCACCGAGCTTCTCAGGGGAGAACTGGGAGTCGGGCTTTCTGGCTCCCTGGCTGGTGACAGGTGCCGCCTAACAAGTGTATTCCCAGGAGTGTGTCCTGTGTTCGCGCAGCTGGGTGAACAGCTACTGGTTTGGCTACTGCCCGAGAGGGTCTTAGAGCACCTCCGGGGCACATGGTTCTTTGGGGCTAGCAGTTTTCAGCACCTTGTTTCTGAGCATCTTTAAGCGCTGAGTCTGACAAGCTGTCCGGCTCCCCCTGCGTGGTCTGGACTCTGCATGGTCTGCAGTGAGAGCCCCCTGCCCCCCACCCCACTCTGCCACATGCCCCTCCAGATCCGCAAGGGACCCAACACCCCAAAAGACAGGGACCACTCAGGGTTTGCTGTGGGGGAAACTGAGGCACAGAGGCTGCCCTGAGAGGCCAATGTCTAGTGACAGAGGCAGGATCCAAATATCCGGCCCCTAGCAGCTGGCGTCCACGCCTAGGGACATGTGTGCCGGTGTCCAGCCCTCCGCCTGCAGTCAGTCTGGGAAGGACAGTGCCTGAGTCTCACAGTTTCTTGTGCACGTGGAAAAAGCAGGCAGGTGCCCCAGCCCATACCCCAAGGCTCAGAGGTCTGTAGAGGGCCAAGGTCTGGCTTCCCGGGGGTGGCAGCTTCAGGATTTGAGCTTAGGCTGACCCACTCGAGGGCCTCTTGTTACCTCACTCGAGAAACAAGATGAGAGGAGTTCTGAGTAGTGGGTGGCTGGCTGTGCGCTGTTCAGAGCAGTACTGGTCACCTCCACATTCCTCCAGGGGCAGGAAAGGCCAGAGATGAAAGGTTATAGCCACAGGGCTAAACTGGAATCCCTCTGGTTCTTTGATGCCCACAGTCCGATTTATTTGAGGAGTAAAATAAGAAAAAGTGGAACTAGCTCTGAAAAGTTGGGGTGTGGGGGGAGAGTATAATGAGAATTCTGTTATAAAAAGGAATCTTGGAGCAGAGATTCTGGGATTCTTACCTGGTTAGTTCAGGAAGAAACATTACCCAATGAACACGTTCTGTGAGCGCTGACTGAGCAGGAGTCAGCATGCAAAATCCTGGGAAGGCGAGCCTGTGTGTGGCTGGAACCCTGTGGCTTCTGCGACTTCCTTCAAGGGGAGCCACTGTGTGTGTGCACGTGCGTGTCCGTGACCTTTTAGGATACGGAGCTGCCGATCACTTTTGTGGAGCCGAGGGTTTCTTCCTTTAGTTGAGGGAGGCATTTGGTCGCCTGTTTAATCCAGCTGTGTCTTAGTTTTTGAGGGACTTGAGGCCCCTGAGCATTGAGGTCTGCCCCTCTTCCCCCATCACCCGTGGGGTTTGCTCCTCCCTAGCTGGTTTGCGTGTTGCTACCAGCCCCATGGTCACTGTTATCCCAGCTGTCTGGTGACGCTCCTGGCGCCACCCCCTCACCCTTTTGGGTCACGGTGCTCCATCCGGGTATTGTTAGTGCTGTGGAGGAGGGCGGGGGCCAGCGCTTCTCTCTTCTGCTGTGTCAGGTAGCAGTTATCCAATGGAAGGGAAGGAACGCAGACACGGGATTTCCTCCACCTGCCCATGGTAGGGTACCCAGCAGGCCACACCTCAGAATCTCTGGAAGTCTCTAAAAAATGCAGGTTTCAGCCAGCTGTTCCCCTTCCAGCCTCTACCCCCAAACGAGACAGGAATCCTGGGGTCCAGGGTAGATCTAAGGATTCTCCATTTTACACGAATTCCCCAGGAGAGGCTGAAACAGAGATAAAGAACACAGTTTGGCATCTTTTCACCTGGCGCAGGGCCGCACAGGGGCCTTGTGGCTTCCAGAGATGCCCCCAGGACAACCAGATCTGAGAGTCCATCTGGGCTGGTTCTTGGTTCGAGGGGGTGAGGGGGGGAGTTGGCAGGTGGGCTCCTTTGAAAGCAGACGCTTGTTCTATAGAAGGACCTGTCCTCCGCCCTCCAGTGTACCACGCCATCTTCCTGGAGGAGCTGACCACCTTGGAGCTGATCGAGAAGATCGCCAACCTCTACAGCATCTCGCCGCAGCACATCCACCGGGTGTACCGCCAGGGCCCCACGGGCATCCATGTGCTGGTCAGCAACGAGGTGAGCGCAGGGTCCCTGCCCCGCGGAGCCGGCCTGGGGCTCTGGGCAGGCGCAGGACCATGCCCATCAGGGCTTGGGGGTGACTTTAGCCTGAAGATGGGGTTCATCCGCCTGCCACCTGCTCTCAGCAGTAGGGTCTGTCGGGAGAGCCTGGAGAGAGGGGTCTGAGGCCAGGACCAGGCGTGGCATAGCTGTCTCCCCTCCACCGCAGAGACTGCACCCCTGCCTCAGGACACTGCAGTCATGGCAGTGAGGACACAGGTGCTCATCGGGGCAGGCGGCAGGCGCTGGGGGAGGTGAGATGGGCTGGGTTGATAAGATGACGTGGCGCTTAGGTAACAGAAGCGTCCTGTGCTGAGTGGTGAAGGTGCCACAGCCTTCCAGGGTCTGTCCCTGGCCACACAAGCCTCTTCAGGGCCCAGGCAGCCCCTGAGAGAGGACACAGTGCCCCAGAGTGATCAGATTCCACTGCTGGCTCCAGCAGGGCGGGGTCATCAAACGGGTTTGCTGATGCCGCTCAGCATTCCTGCGTGTTGTAGAACAGAAGCGTCTGAGTTTGTCCTATGCTGGACCCTCTCTCTTAATAATAATGTTGATGAGGAGTGTTAGCATTTCGGCAGTGCTCACGATGTGTGTGCAGCCTTCTAAGGGACTCATTTAGTCCTGCCAGCCTCCCTGTGAGGTGGGTGCTGTCCTGAGCCCATTTCACAGATAGGAAGCAGGCACAGAGAGGTTGCATAATTGGCCCCGGGGTGGGCAGCTCAAGAGCTCAGGCTGTGGTAGAAACACAGGTGGCCCAGAGCAGCAGAGTTCGAGCTTTGAGACGGCAGGCTCTCTGACCACTCCTGAAATGAGGCCTCTGCGCAGAGCTGTGCTGATGGGAGCAGGGGCAGAACCCCAGCCCAGCCTGCAGCAGACCCTCCACCCACTCACGGGAAACCTGCTGAAGGTGATGGAGAAAACAGTCCAGGAACGGTGGTCCAGGAGAAGGTGTGCTTTGGAATTAAGCTGAAGCTCCGCCTAGACTGGCTCCTCCTAGCCAGGTGACCTTGGGCAAATCTATGTAGTGTCTTTGAGCTTCAGTTTCCATGTCTCCATAATGGGGATAATTCTACCCAAAGAGCAGGTTGTAGTAAGGATAAAATGAGAAACAGTGGCAGGTACCAGAAGATGCTAAATTAGCTAATTAGGTAAGCATTTGTTTTTTGGGGGCGGAAAAAGTGTTGCAGAGAGAGCTTTAAATCCGAGAACATATAACGTGTAAGGCTTTTAATGATCTGCATGTTTCATGAACTGTCATCATCAGTAGCATTACTAATGTTGTCATCATGACTGCCCGAGCTCCCTACACAGGAGTCCTGAGTCCCCTGTTTCATGGGAGTTTCATCCTGGGAGTGGACACAGTGATATTTTCCTTCCTTTTAATTAGAAAGTAATTCACAATTTGTGTAAGAAATCAGGCAGCATAAACCAGGAGAAGGCAAGCATGAGAGGCCCTCTTCTTCCCCTCTCTTTTCCTTGAAGAGTTTAGATTAGATGTGATGTGATCATGGAGGATAATTTTGTGTCTCTGTCGCTTGCCAGAGTGTGTGTAGGTGTGGGTTTTTAAAACACACACCGAGGATCCATTCAAACAAGGGACTTGATCTGTAACTTGTTATTTTTGTCGTCAGCTCAGAATCGCTTTCACATCATCACATTCAAATCTAGGGTAGCCGTTCTTCAGCCCCCATCTCATGGATAAAGCACACGAAGCCCAGAGCTACTGGCCTGAGCCCATACTTCCGAAGAGCCAGGAAGGTTAGAGTGCCCTGAGCATCAGGCAGTGGTCTGATCTCACACACAGCACATTTCTGTCGTGAAGACAAAAGCCAAGAATTCATGGAACCCTTGCAATTTCACCAGTCCCTCAAGGGGGTTCCTTCCCCAGCCTGCCCCATGCCTCCCCAGAGCAGGCAGTTAAGCCAGTGAAGCAGAGAACAGACCTCAACGCCACCTCCGCTAAGTAGGTGACTCTAATTCCTCCGAAGTCCCCTTGCCTCTTAACCTCGAATCAATTGGAAACCTTTGGTTCTTAATTGCCCGGAGCACTGGAGGCAGCCCGGCCAGTCGCACAGCCGGCCCCTGGGGTGCAAGGGCACTTCATTAAACAAGGCGGTTACTGATTAAGCCCGTGTGGGCCCTGCGTCAGGTTTGGCAGGCTCCAGTGGTGGGGCTGCCAAGAGTCCCCGAAGGAATGGGCCGGCAGCACAGCGTAAATGTACTTCACGCGTCATTAGGCCTGGGGGAGGGGCAGGGGTCGACAGGTGGATGGATGTGCAGGATTTGGGGCCGTCAGCCAGAGCAGGCAATAAAATGTAGGTTGCACTTTTTAATTGGTAAAGGGGTTTTGCTGTCCTGTGGGCCAGTGTGTGTGTTGTGGTATGTTTAGGTAGGTGTGTGTATTTTTCATATTCCTTAAATGTGTATTGTGAAATATAGCATACATATTTAGAGTATAGGAAGCTCATTTGTAGAGTTTAAAGAATAAAATACTCAATACTGCACTCAGGTTAGTGCAGTGTTGTTAGAAGCCCCTTTGTGAACTAATTCCACATTCCCCTCCGCATACTGGTCTGAATTTTCATATAAGTGGAATAGGAGTGTATACGGTTTGTGGTTCGTGCACTTGGAGGGGTATTGCTCGGGGTCACTGGCCCTGCTGAGTGCCCGGCTGTGATGAGGTCACAGCTTGCTGCTGCTGCTTCTCCTACTGAGGGACAGGAGGCTGCTTCTGGCTTTCTCTCATACACACAGTGCTGTTCTCAGCATCCTTAGATGGGCTTTGTGTGTGTGTGTGCAGAAGGTTGGCTGGGGCACCCACCTGTAGGAGAGATATGTGTGGTCCTCTGTGCTGGCTCCTGTGGACAGTCCTAGAAAGCAACTGTCTGGATGGAGGCCCCACCAGAGAGGATGCCAGCTCCTATTGCTCTGCATCCTGGTTATATATATATTTTTATCAGAACAGCTTCATTTTACAGACTGGGCCTTGGACAAGTTTTCTAGTCCAAGGTCACTGGGCTATTAATTAAAGTTCCAGAGAGAGGGGGCTGGTGAATCATTCGGTTCCTGCCACAGGGAACTGAACACATGATGTTGTGTTAGTTTCAGGTATATAGCACAGTGATTTCAGTTATACATCTGTGTGTGTGTACACCTGTGCACTCAGTCGTGTCCGACTCTTTGCAACCCCATGGACTGTAGCCCACCAGTCTCCTTTGTCCATGGAATTTTCCAGGCAAGAATACTAGAGTGGGTTGCATTTCCATCTCCAGAGGATCTCCCCAACTCAGGGCTCAAATCTGCATCTCTTGTGTGTCCTGCATTGGTGGGCGAGTTCTGTACCAGCTGGGCCCCTGTACGTTAATAGATACTCTTCTCCAGATTCTTTCCATTGTAGGTTATTATGAGATACTGAATGTAGTTCCCGGTGTAAAGCACTTCAGTTTTTTATCTGGTGCTGTTTTATACACATCTGCTCCTGTGATGGAGAAGGCAATGGCAACCCACTCCAGTACTCTTGCCTGGAGAATCCCATGGATGGAGAAGCCTGGAAGGCTGCAGTCCATGGGGTTGCTGAGTCGGACACGACGGAGCGACTTCACTTTCACTTTTCACTTTCCTGCATTGGAGAAGGAAATGGCAACCCACTCCAGTGTTCTTGCCTGGAGAATCCCAGGGACGGGGGAGTCTGGTGGGCTGCTGTCTATGGGGTCGCACAGAGTCGGACACGACTGAAGTGACTTAGCAGCAGCAGCAGCTCCTGTAATGTGTCCTGCAGAGGGATGGGAAGACCCCATCACTCAGAAAATTCAAAAGCAAAAGAAAATCAGTAACAATCGAGTCTCGTATGAAATGTTGACATTTTAATTCCCTTCCAGGCTTCTTCTGTCCTTTGCATTCAGTTTTTTGTTACTCGAACCTATAATTGCAGGACTTCCCCTGGTGGTCCAGTGGCTAAGACTCTGCACTCCCAGCGCTGGGGGCCTGGGTTCAATCCCTGATCAGGGAACTAGATCCCACATGCCACAGCCAAGAGTTTGCATGCTGCAACTAAAAAAGATCCTACATGGCACCACTAAGACCCCACGCAGCCAAATAAATTAAAAAAAAGCAAACAACTATAATTGCTCTGTCCGTTGACTCTGCATCATATTTCCTCCACACAACTGTCTTCCTGTGTGTGTGTCAATGCGGCACCTGTTGTTTCTGATGGTTGTGAGTGGCTGGGCTCCACGTCACTGAGGCTTTTCATTCTCAGAACTCGTTGTTGAAGTGACATGGTCTGTCTTTCGCCTTTCAGATGGTGCAGAATTTCCAAGATGAATCCTGTTTCATCCTCAGTACCTTAAAAGGTAAAACCTGCTGCTCCCCGCCCTCTCTTATTTAATTAAAGGATGTTGGCTTCACCCCCTGGGTTAACTGGGTGAGGGGGGAGCAGGCTGGTGAGTGGGGCTGGCATGGGGAAACATCCTCCGGGGAAAAGAAACACACAGTTTCCGGGAAACTCAGCCTTGGAAATGTGTGGCCTGGAGAGGTGGGCCCCAAGGTCACTTTGAAAGGGAACTCTTGGACATTCACTGTGTGCTCCACGAACCCAGGGCCGAGGAGAAGCGACACGTTTGAGTTGCTCGGAAGTATGAGTCTGGGACTTGCCTGAGGATCCAGGGGCTCAGACTCTGCGCTTCCAGTGCAGGGGGCATGGGTTCAATCCCCGGTCAGGGTCAGGGAACCAAGAGCGCACATGCGGCATGGCCGGAAAAAAAAAACCAAAAACCCAGCGTGGGTCTCCAGGAGGAGCAGGCGCGGAACACAGTTGCACTTGAGCCTCCAGGCCCCACAGATTGGGAACCTGGGGCTGTGTGTGGAGGCGGGGGGGACATGAAGGGCCGGCCGAGGAAGGGGTCTGAGAAGGAACTCCTCTACCAGGAGAAAGGGGAGACCAGCTGTGACCCCCTCCCCGCAACCCCCATAGGGCCGGGGCAGGTGAGTGTGCGGAGTTATACGGGAATGAAAGCCCCTCACTGGGCCATAAACCCTGGACCGTGACAAGGACAGTCTCCTCCCCTTGCTCTCTGGATCCAGCCACCAAGAGCCTTCAGAGACCCGGGCGGCCGTCAAACCCAGGGCCTCCTCACCCACGGGCCCTTTAGTCTCTGGGTGTCGGGCTGTGGTGGCAAGCCCGCTATCAAAAGAAAGCTCAGCAAAGCAGCTGAGCAGGTGTGCATTGGGATTGCTGCTGTTATCTTTGTGCAGTCTTACTTTGGTGGCCTCTGCCAGCATCCACGGCAGACCGTCTGCTGGTACCCCAATCTCACGGCTCCCAGAGACTGCCACGCCTGCCTTTCTTCCCTTAAAACCTCAGTGTTTATCTCTTGCAGCCGAGAGCAATGACGGCTACCATGTCATCCTGAAATGCGGCCTCTGAGCAGATGCAGAGTGGGCAGCTGCCTCCCACCACCAGCCCCACGGACCCCCTTGGATGTAGATATCACACCCCTGGAAGCTGTGGCAAGGAGGGACCTGGCCCGGCCCGTGAAAGCCACAGACCTGGGGACGCTGCGGGTCTGGAGGGCAGAAAGCCAGCAGCTCCTCTCTCCCCACCTCAGCCCCCGGCTTTGGGACAGTTCCCTGTTCCTTTTCTTGGTCCTTCCATCTGAAAAGGCCAACGGGAGCCATCTGCGCTGAAACCTCTTGGTCCCCTGGCTGGAGTCTGGTCCACCAGGTACCCGGGTGCCACTGTGCGGGTTCCTTCCGCCCGTTCTCCTGCCTCCAGAGAAGGCTCTGCCTCTCTCGCAGGCCTTCCCCTCTTCTCTGCTGACTGGCTGGGTCCCTGGGCAGCTGACTACCTGGGGGTGGTTCGAGACGGTCCTGTCTCCATGTGGGTTTCCCGTCTTGGTGATCCTGGTGAGCGTCTGTCCTTCCTGTTCCTGGATGGCTTGATGGGTGTTGGGTTGACTCTGCCTTCTGGTTCTTTTCACATTGACCTTGATTCTAAGTGTCTGCTGCTGCTCACAGCCCAGAGGGGCCTTGCGTTTCTCCATTGCTGGGGTATACACTCCGGAGCCACCCACAGCTGGTTCTAAGCCCTTGGGGAGGAGAGGATGGGGCTGAGAAGACTATTTTTAGGCACATTTTCCAGTCCTCTTGCCTGGAAAATCCCATGGACAGAGGAGCCTGGTAGGCTGCAGTCCATGGGGTCGAAAAGAGTCAGACATGACTGAGCGACTTCACTTTGACTTTTCACTTTTATGCACTGGAGAAGGAAACGGCAACCCACTCTAGTGTTCTTTCCTGGAGAATCCCAGGGATGGGGTCACACAGAGTCGGACACGACTGAAGTGACTTAGCAGTAGCAGTAGTAATCATGAATATAAAAGGGAAGAGAACCAAATGCTTCCTCTTGGGCTTTTTTTGGGTGTGAGTTTATTTCCTAAGCAGTTGTGGGTAGAGGAGGACTAGAAAGTGAACATCCTGTTGCAGGATCATATGACCTTGACCATCCTAATGCCAAGTCCTCTTGGATGGTATCACCAAATCCCATTTAGAGAGGACCACTAACCTTCCCAAGCTCCCTAGGGACGTTGTATTTTCTGGGAGGGCTCCCCTTTGAAGGTCTCTCTTTTTTCATTTGTAGAGGCTGTGTTTGGGCACTTCTCCTGCGTTAGAGTGGTTGGATCACCTTTCTTAGATAATTGATAGACTCAGGAACTAGTGTCAGTCTCTGTTACTCGGGACCCTGTGATCTGTGTTGCTAACGTAGGTTCATCTAACAGACATGGTGAGCACTGGGACCCACGGAGCAGAATCTGACAGCCTTCAAAGTGGAGCTTTTGGGGACTAGAATGCTTTGGGGGAATATAGAGATGATCATAACTGGGTAAACTTGTTTTACAGACAGAGAAACTGAAGCCTAGAGGGGCGAAGCCTGATATCCCATCGTGATCGGGTGATAACGTAGATTTGTCATCTAAACCAGAGCCCTGGTAGTCATACTGCTTGGACCGCAGGTGTGACGTAAGGACAGGCTTCTCATTCCCTTTCCATTTGGGGCTGCGTGTGGCAGCCTTCTTGAGATATAGTTCACACACTATACAGTTTACCTATTTATAGTGTACAGTTCTGTGATTTTTTTTTTTTAGTCAATTCACAGGATCACCACAATCAATTTTAGAACATTTTCATCACCCAAGACATCTCATGTATATGGAATCATACAATATGTGGTCTTTCGTGGTCTTGTTTTTTCACTTAGCATAGTGTTTTCTAGGGTCATCCATATTGAACATGTATCAGTACTTTGGTCTTTTTATAGCTTAATAATATTTCATTCCATGGGTGGACTGTATATGTTTATCCATCCATCACTTGATGGATATTTGAGTTGTTTCTGTCTTGGGGCTGTTATGAACAGTGCTGCTATGAAGTATTTGTACACGGTTTGGTGTGTTTTCTTTTAGGAATATACATATGACTGGAATTGCTGGGTCATTTAGTAACTCCATGTTTAACTTTTTGAGGAACTGCCGGACTGTTTTCCAAAGCAGCTGCATCATTTTACATTCCTATCAGCAGTGTCTGAGGGTTCTAGTTTTCCTCCGTCCTTACCAACACTTGCTAGTATCTGTCATTTTGATGATAACATCCCAATGTGTGTGAAGTGGTGTCTCATTGGAGTTTCAGTTTGCATCTTCCTGATGGCTAATGATGTTGAGTATTTTTTCATGTGCTTACTGACCATTTGTATATCTTCTTTGGAGAAATGTATATTCATATCTTTTGCCTATTTGCAGTTGGCTTATTTGTCTTTTTATTATTGAGTTGTAGGAGTTCTTTGGATAGTTTAGACGCAGGCCCTTTGTCAGATATATGAGGTGTCAAACTGTCCTCCACTTCTGCAGGTTGTCTTCACTCTTAAGATGTCCTTTGAGGGACAAAGGTTTTTCATGTTGATGATCTCTAAGATACCGTTTTTCTCTTGTTGCTTGTACTTTTGATGTCATATCTAAGAAACTATTGCCTAATCTAGGGTCAAGAAGATTTATGTTTTCTTCCAATAATTTTTATAGTTTTAGCTCTCCGGTAGTCTTTGATTAATTTTGAGTTAATTTGTATTTATGATGTGAAGGATGGGTCCAACTTCATTCTCTTGCATGTAGATATTCAACTGTCCCAGCACCAACTGTTGAAAACACTATAGGGGATCCCCATAGAATTGTCTTCATACCCTTGATCGTGGCCCCCTAATTCTTGCTGGATCTCTTTCTCTGCTACATGGGACTGTCATTAGGATGCTCAGCCCATGTTTGGCTCCACCAGTTTTACAACTGGCTTTCTCTCCTTTTCTTTCTGTCTCCCCCTTTCCCTGTTTCATCAGTACTGGGTGACATCACTCTCTGATGATCTACAGCCTTTCTGGGTGCGTGGCTCCACACAGCAGTCCTAGGGGAATGTCAGGATCAATCATCTTCTGTTTTGAGGAAACCAAGTCACACAGAAGTAGACAAACTTGCCCAAGGTCCCCCAGAACCAGAACTAGATTATTGGTCTTGTGACTTTTGGCATTTTGAGATGTCTACAATTCACTAGACCCAAAAGATGCCACTAGCCAGGCCAAGTGATGACAGGCTAAAATTTTAATTCCAAAAATGTGGTAGACTAATATTTTATTTTTATTTCTTCACTCAAAATAAGGGTCCAATCAAGATCTTAAGTTTGCTGTAGGTGGAGTCTTTCATCTGGAATGCACACTGCATCAGCTCTGCTTACCTTCTCCTAATGGTTTTATAGTTCAGTCTTGTAGCTTACACAGAAGTAGAGAATAATAAATACCAAAGAAGAATACACAGTCATTTGGTACCAAAATGTTTTAGCTGCCCAGTTCAGCAGTTTGTTCCTTCCACAGGCGTCGGAGGAGCTACCTGCAGGTTTTTGGATTTTGTGTCTATTTTTTTCATTGTATTGAAGTACAGAAAAGCTGTGCCCTTTCCACTCCTGTCCACTGTCTTTCCCGTGTGCTCTGAGTCCAGCATCTGGGCCTGCTGGACAGGGTGGCCCCTCCCAGAACAGTCTCCTTCGCCCCCGTGTATTCTGAGCTGTGGCTGCTCCTCGGCAGCAACAGATTTTAAAAGGGACCCCCAAGGGACGGAAGATGTACCATGCACCAGAGCCACTGTCTTGAACCAGAAACCCGAAGTGGGGTGCCTTTTTCTCAGTCCATCACGTTTCTTTGCTGGGCAGTTGTCTGAAAAGTTGTGATAAACCTTCTCCTGGTTACCGAATCACCCCTTTATAATAAAGACATGGGCTTTGGAATGGGGGAAGGGATGGTAGGCCTTTGGAAAGAGCAGGAGGGGCAGGGAGCTGGAAATCTCAGTGTAAGGTACTAAGCAAAGGTCAGATGCTGTCCTGGTGACCTCCTTCCCCGGCCAGCTTGGGCTTCTTGGGAAGAGCCATGGACCTAGAGGGACTTTCCCGGGAGCAGAGCGGAGCTGCCTGAGCAATGCGTCACAAGTCTCCAAGTCCAGGCCGGCCTCAGGGGCTGGCCTGCGTGAGTTAAGGTCTGAAAATCATTGACGAGTTAATGAGAAAAATGGAAGAGCTTCTTTTGCTGTTGTCAGTGGAGCAGAGGGAGGCAGCCCCCAGGAGCTCAGAGAAGACGGAAAAGCAAGTGACCAAGAGCCAGGACTCCAGGCCCTCACTTGGCGTGCTTTTTCTCCCTCTCTGGGTCTCACCTCCTCTCTGGGAGGCTTCCGGGGCTGTGACTGACTCAGGCGTGAGTGTGTCTGAGGGGGGCATTCCTTTTTTTCCCTCCATCAGAGTTGCACTGGTGGTGTGTACATGCATGCTTCCTGGTGGTACGCAGCGCCTCAATGCTTCTGCTTGGATTGGTGCACGCTTTGCGAGGTTGCATGCATTTCAGTGTGAGACACTGCATCTTAGCCGTGTCTTTAGGAATCCAGCCTAGCTTGCAGCCAGGGTGACTTGATTCCATCCATGCTCTTAAGAGTGGGCACCAGCTGTTCCCTGCAGGCTGAGGCTGGATTCCTTGTTGGCTGGCTGTATGCCTACATTACAGACAGGCCTGTGTGTGCATGTTCATGGATGCACGTGAATCCCCTTCTCTGCCCCTGTATCTGCCCTGAGCGTCCTCAGCTCACCTAGGCAGAGTGGTGACTGCTGCTTCCTTTAGACCTTATGTGATGCTCCTGGTTCGGACAATGTTGATAAAACTGATTAGGGCACTGTTGCCCTAATTGTGGGGAAAGGCCCATCCTCAGTCCTGCTCTAGGGGGCAGAGCCATGCTGGGAGCTGACATCTAACCCTAACCCAAAAGCAAGGCCCCTCGGACTTGGCCTTACTTGCAGCCACCTCACATTCCCTGTGTCCCCTTGGGTTGCGTATTCTGTGTGTGACGTCGCCAGTCAGGCCAGGCAGTCGGAAGTATTTGTACATCCTCTCTGATCACCTCCCGGCCCCCTTCCCTCCACTCCGTGGGGCAGAGCAGTGCAGTCCAAGACAAGCCACCCCCACCTCCTTCCCCGGGGCCGGCCTGAGAGCTCCATGCAGCCTCTGCCCAGTTCCCCAGAGCACCTTGCAAAGGCTGGGCTTTCCTCCCTCCTGCTCCTGCGGGGACTGACTGAGCTCTGAGGGTGTGGTCCTCACCTGGCCCTGTAGGGGCTTTCTAGTGGCAGCAGCCCCAAGAAGTATCTCTAAGAGGTGGCTTTGCTGTTCTGCCCAGGGTAACTGGCAGGGTGAGGCAGGGAGGGGCCAGCCCTGCTTAGTCGTGGGCTGAGACACCCGGCTGTTTGGGCAGCCAGGCCAGCCTGTCCCAGGAGGCAGTGTGTGAGCCTGTCCCTGCCTTCATCCTGTGGAGTCCCAGATGGGGATGGGTGGGGGGTGGGGGCCTGCAGGGGGCTAGCAGGGACCAGGAAGCCTTTTATCATGAAAAGTTTTCAATCCTTCTTGAAAGACAGACCAATATAATTAGCCCTGGTACCTATCACTCCACCTCCTCAACGATCACCCTACACCTGCTCATCAGGGACAGGCCAACTGCGGGCCAAATGCAGCTTCTTGCTGCATTTTGTAGTCTGTTTGATGACAGGGAACACTGAACTCAATGAAGTGAAATGTCATCCTGTCCTCCCCTCCACCATTCCACTCCCGTTTGTATTACCAAAACCTGTACTCCGTTATAGTTTGAATTTCA